AAGAATGTTTGGCGAGAGTTTCACCAATCTTACTGGCAATATCAGACTTATCAGTTAATAAAGTATCACCATCCATCAGATGGTGAACGGTAGATTTGGAACCTTTGCCCTTAATTCTTTGTATCATATTCCACACCTTTGACCTAGGTGTACGGGAATTAATTTTGGAAACATAGTTCCTCCAAGACTGACGCTTAGTCTGTTTTAAAAGTGCGTCGAGCCTTAGCATTTAAAATTTTCACTTTATCTAAATTATGATTGTAGGATGTCGCCGAAAATACTTTTCAGCTTTCTTCCTATTCTTTCTGGCCTGTTAACAGTCATTAGTAAACCATGGTTTACGAAGATGTGGAATTGCAGAGGACTTGGGTATAGTTTGATCAGCAATGTCATTGAGGATATCAGAAAACAATTATATAGGGTCTTCGCTGTTCGCAAATACTTCATGTCTTAAGTGGTCGACACACAAAGCTTCATATAATGACCAATCGGCCCTGGCGAAGTCCTCCGTTAAAGGTCACATGCAACAAAGGTCACATGCAAGGCAAAACACAACTTTGCAGATTCTGATACCTTTCGGTATGGACTTACAGTAACAAATTATCAAAAATGCAAATTCAACTTATAAAGTTGAAAAATAACGCGATGATAACTAATCGTAGTTCAAACGATTCACTTAACACCCCAACTGTACTGCGCTGCGCCCATAGCGCATGCGCAATGATTAGGTTCGCGCGGCTTGAACCGGGAAGGTGACTCGTAAAGACACAGCAAGTGATGCGTGCAAGGATTATCGCTGTGGTCGAAGTTGGAGAACAAAAGATGTTTCTTGTGATTACAAGCATCTTTGGTCTACAGTAATAAAAATACACTGGTCCCATACTTGCTGCAGATTTGCAAACCAAGTTTTCAAGAAAGTGTAGCATTAGAAATACTAATTTCATTGTTAAAAAGTGCTCAGCTTGAAACTGGAATGTTTTAATACATGTCTATGGAAACAGAGAAAAATATGTTGATTGTGACAAGCAGTCTCTGTCACAGACAAAACTCAATGGGGAGAAGTGCGCACTCGAGTTTCCAGTACATGGTCTACCCCCACTTGCCTTACACAGGACTGCACCTTCTCCTTAAAGCATATGTCCAGCCACTTGCGATATAATATTGCTCTCTGCTTTTTGAGTTTCGCGGGGAGGTATGTGCGAATAGACATCCTTGTGCCTCTAAGAAACTTCGCTGATTTCAACACCTTGTCCCTATCCTCCATATTAAGGAACCTCGCGATGATCGAGGCGTTGTACAACCCCAATGTGTAAAATCAAGACAATAGGTAAAAAAATAACGCAATGTGTAAAAACGTTACGCTAAACGTAAAAAGTAACGCAATATGTAAAAAATTAACGCAAAATGTAAAACATGTCTTTAACGCAGTACGTTAACACCTAACGCAAAATGTAAAAATAATTGTTCACGCAATTTTTAAAAGATGGACGGAATATGTAAAATCCTGCTTTTTTTGGTTGTTTATAAATCTTGGCGACTGAAATTCATTTTTTTAGAAACTTTACTTTATTGTTTTTCAAAATAACTAAGGAATTAACCTCGTTTCTAACTTAATTGAAATCTGGTCAACAGAGTCATAAAGCATCAAAATAAAGCCTAAAATTGTATAATATATATGTATAGCGATACTTGATATCATGATCTATGTTAGACAGTATCCAAGGAAATCATTTTATTCGTCATAGTATTTTTACGTAAATGGTCATATGGGTTGTATTCATTATCTCCTATTCAAGAAGGTTTTACTTTTTAGCCTTTTTTATCCCACAACGCGCATGTAGCGATACGTTTGGGAATATAAAATTACTCTCCGTCCGTCAGTCTCTCCGTCCAAACACCTGGGTTGCGCTATATCTCAACAAGTGGTTTATCAATTATTAATGATATTTGGTACGGTAACCAAGGTTCAAACTGAAGTTCTGCAGATATCAGTTTTTAGTATTTTTTTTCTTCTTTTCATTGTTTTTGTTGAGAGACCAGTTTTTTCAGAGGTTTCCTGTTTAGTGGTGAATTAATAGCAAATTATTTTCCTTTATGGAATTAATGTATTAGTTATTTTTCCTGGTAGACAGATAAATAGTGTGTTTTTGTAATCTCACCTCAAAATACACAAATGAAATGCTGATAAAAAGTCTTCGCATAGGAATTACGAGAGACTTAAAAAGTTGTTTCAGAAACACTTTGAATGAATGTTAGAGAACATATCAAATTTATCATTATGTATTTTCATATACTATAATACTCCAAAATGTGAAAATTACTGCATATGTATAAATGTGTCGCTGAACACAAATATCTTTGATTTAGAAATGGTAAATCCATCTTGCAGTTTTAGGTATAACGGACATGTAAGATGCATCACAGGGATTCGGGTATTTCCATTCCAATCATATCTGATTTCCTTCAATCAATTCACATTTGGAATTGGTTCCCGATGTTGATCTTTGGGGTTGAGGTCAAAATCTTTGATGTAAACGGAACAGTCACACAAGTTCTCCCCAAAGAGATTCTACCTAATATATCTTAGCTACTTTCATGAAAATGAAGGAGAGCACTACATGAATCTAAATCCAACTGATAAATTTAATAGAAGAACAGGTATAATGGGCAGAGGGAGAGGGAGAGGGAGAGCAGCCATACTATGTTATTAGTTCATTTTTCTTTATAGTATTTTTTAACCAGATGTCCTTTTTCATACATTTATATCATTGAAGCGGCATTTCATAAAAGTAAACATTTGAATATCTTCTTTTATATTCTCAGTTCGTTTATTTGAATTTGTTTACAATCCGCAATTGAAGCTTCGGCGGATCAAGATGCACGCATTTAGGAACCATTCCAATATTCCCACCCATCGTTGTTTCATATACATACTCGTCAAATCATAACTATTGGCGCTCTCTCCTACATCAGTTGCTAGGTCCGAAGATAAATGGTCTTCTCGATGCCAAGTACCAATTGCAATTAATTCGAACCACCATACACAATGAGTTAAAACTGGAAATATTGCTACAACATGTATGTTATTTCAAACTGATTAAGAAGGGCCAATAAGTGGTTTCTTTAAAAACCCAATTCGGTAATCACAGATTATCAGCAGCGGAATGGACAGTTTCAAGGAGTCCGACCCAAAAGGTAAACCCTTCTTGAATAAGACATGATAAATATACCTAAAAATGCCATTTATGTAATCAGAGTTTGAAGAATAAAATTATTCCTTTAATACTTTCGAAAATAGACTATAAGATCGATTCAAATATCTCTTTATACAAGTAAATTATATGTTTATCGATTATAGTTTCATGTATACTGAACAAGGAGATACAATTTTGTAAAAAAAGTAATATGAAATTCATTTTGTCAGAAACATTGCGATATCTTAATTTTTGAAAATACAGTTAATTTTTGCCAAGTTTGTGAAAATAATGGATTTCGATTGCCACCCCTAATATTCAAACCTAAAACTGGATTTTACATGTTGCGTTAATTTTTTACATATTAAGTTAAAATTGTATTTACATTTTGCGTTAGGTGTTGTACTTTTTTGCGTTAAAGACATTTTTTACGCATTGCGTTAATTTGTTACATATTGTGTAAAGTTTTTACATATTGCGTTAGTTTTTACATATTGTCTTTATTTTACATATTTGGGTTGTACAGGCGTGGGCTTCTGGGTTTGGGTGATTAGGGAATGGTTTCCTGAGGAGCTTATGTACCGCTTAAAGTAAATGTTGTCCTAATCCTTGTCACTCAGATTAAGGCTATCCACAAAGATATTTCTGAGAACTTTTTCAGAATGTTCGCTAGCTTATTCCTTAGTCCCATAAAAAAGGTTAGTTTTTCGATCGTACATTTCTTTGGCAAGCATTGTTTTTCCCATGTTTTTTTTGTTTGTTCGGATAATTTGGATTCGAGTTCTTTAACTTCTGTGCGAAGGTCCTTTACCTCAGCATCATGCACGGCGGCCATGTTTTCCACGCCATCCATCCGTTTGGACACGTGGCTGATTTCATTTTTCAATTCCAAAATTGCCCCCTTTAATTCAGGATTTCAAACATTAATCTTGTCTGAAAGTCTCTTTTCGACTGCAAGAATGGGTTCTTCCATAGTTGAATGGGTACTTACTCCTGACTTAAAGGTCATCTGATTTTTGGCTACAAAGACTCAAAATCGTATAATGTTTTACTCACGCACTTCACACACTTGACGAATATATCCGCAAACAATCCCAAATAGTGCATATACCATTCTTTTTAAAAAAATCAGTCATTTTGTAGTTGTGATAGACGTGGGATCGACAGCTCTTATCATGTTCGTCCTACTCTCACGTACGCGCAAACCGTCAGCAAGAACGGTGGCTTGAGTGTGCCAATATTCACCAGGTACCAGTTCCTCAAAGAGATCGTAAGCCTAAGACGACCGTAACTCCCATACTTTAACACAGACTTACGACAGTTGTAGCACGATCGCGTTGTGCAACGGGGCCCGGTGCCTTTGTATTCAGCAATCTGCGCCCTTATTCTTGAAACGTTCGTAGCCCTAAGAGTTCTTAACTTTGATCGTAGCCAATGTGTTAATAAGAATGGGCTTAAGAAGTTCGTAGGGCTACGAACGTATCGAAAATAGCTAGCCTGGAGCTGTAGTCTTTGGTGTCTACAGTTTTAGATACAATCAGTCATGCTCATTTTACCAAAGGACTTTGATATGAAGATGTTTGATAAAGGTTGCAACATTCAAAGCCTTCAAAAGTTTTTATGGTAAACATCAGTGCCAGTGTGTTTGGTACGTGTGCCACCGGTTTGTCGGGCAGGATACGCACATCTTTTCGCGAACACTTGATAGCATCACTATTTGATACTGATTTATAACAACACGTGTTTAGTATAATTGGAATTACAATCTTATGAATATGAAAACAGGACGTTGTTGGTTGTATTTACCTGTTTCGTAGAACCGTGCACCCGTTTCAGGAACGTCTACCTCGTGTGCTTGTGGGAGGGACGAACTACGGCGGCACACCCTTGTATTGGGATTATAGATGAACGCCAAGCATCGATCCTTTAAGCAGAGCACCCCACAATGTACTCTGTTCAACACATTGGGTTCCTCCAGTAAACCATTGACACTCATATCATTGTATTCGGGGCGGTTTTTAAAGTACTTAGAAGTAATGCTAGCAACTCCGCACTTGCACAGCATGAGCAACAGAAATACCTTGTTCATCGTTATCTGTTCTGCCTATTCTGACTCAGAGTTTGCGTTCAGGATAAATCCCGATTCACTGCTGAATAATCGATATGCGCGTGAAGGGACCGAGGCCGGAACGGCTTTATGATCTTAAAAAGACGACATCCGTTATTTGTAAGAACACAAGGGCTTAACAACCTTTTCATTCCGTCAGACACAGGGACCATAAATCCATAAATATAATCTAAATCCAGTGTAACTGAATGTTAAAAGCATTTATTTCGACCTCACGATGGACATTCCGGGTATACACATTTCAAAAAAAGAAACGCTTAAGCAATTTTCAGAAGAATTCATTGCGTTATGTTTATGAGCAATTACTTCATGTAATTTCAATGGTACAAAGGTGAAAATATACACGTCAATAGACAAAGCGCTTGTCAACACAAACAGCCTTTATTGCTGTGTTTCGGTTTACTTGCGTCCACAAGTCATTACTTTGCTCGGCACCATCTGGGCACTGACGAAGTCTCTCTTGCGGAATTTTCCCCCACTCTTCCTGCATTGCGATGGCCAGTTGTGGAAGTGTCTGAGGCGTGTTTGACGTTGACGTACACGTCGATCGAGTTCATTCCATAGGTGTTCTATCGGGTTTGGATCTGGTGATCGGAAAGGTCATGGTAAGACATTAACGTTAGAATTGTCAAAGTAGCGGACCGTGACTCGTTCTGTATGTGAAGTAGAGTTGTCATGCTGGAACAACACCCTCTATAGGTCCATAATCGTTAGCATGTGATGTGCAAGGACTTCGTTGATGAACTGATTTGCTGTCAAATTCTCTCTGATCTGAAATCAGATCTTTGTGTGCTGTATATTGCATCACACACCATGACACTGTCTCCACCGAATCTGTCAACCTGTCGAATGCAATGTAGCGGTCCTGGGCTTGGGTGGGAACTCTTTGACGGCCGCTTCTCGGGTTGAATTGGTTTGCATGAAGTGATCCTAAAGGCGAGATATGGTACCCTGATGAGCGTTGAAATGTCGGGCAACTGCACCCTGCGACTCCCCAGCTTCAAGGCGGCCTATGGCGATGTTTCGATTGGCGGCACTCAGTCGTGGCATGATTTCCTCTTTTTCTAGGCAAAAACAAATGCCAAAATTAACCGCAACGTTTGCCTTTATATAATGATCGATACCGCATGCCTTTCCCCTTACTTGCATTCTGCATGTTTTCTTGGAGACGTTTCGGTGACCAATATGTATATGTAAGTCGAGCTGTTACGTACATGTTCCAATTTGTCCATGACATTGTTATGTTGCCTCTGATCAACACCTGACACATGTACATGTTTTAGGTCTCATTATAACTACAGCGATACATCCATGTTTGTGTCGGAAATAAATCAAAAGGTCATATATTTTCATACGATCTAAATACAGGTACTCAATCGCATCCTGTAGACTATGAGGACATAAACAGTTATTCTATGCATTGAATGTCCACACATAAATGTACGATATAAGAGTATGGACACATGGTACTCTCCATTCTCAATAGGCCGGACATTGCACAATTTTGACCTTTCGTGTGTTAGTCTCTGTACCTGTTCAGATATCCCTATATGCCCATACACCTGTTATTAAAATTCACTTTCCTTTTTCACAATGGTGGTTTGTCGTTTTGTAATATCAGTGATTTTGACTTGGTATCTCTTCTTTGGCCCGTTAGTTTATTATCCAACTGTATTTATTCTGTAAGGTATTGCCTCCTTACTCTCGTCAACAACAAAGCCAAATTCAGTATTTATAGGTTGTTTTTAATACCGAGAGAATTGATCTTAAACAGGAATACAAGAGAATCCTCATCATACCGAGAAAATACAAAACTGACAAAACCGGATCTATTTCATGACAATGGCTTCCTAAGGTTGAAAAAAGAACTATGTCCTAAATGAAACAACTACATATGTTTCTGACCGCTTCACTGCGGCATGGTATCTCAGTGGGCCAGCACTATAAAACCATTCATACACATACACAAGCATGCACGTCGTCATATGACCGAAATATTCTCAAGCACTACGTTAAACCCAATTTCACCTCACATATGTTTCTAAATATTTCAGATGTTTACTGGAATGAAATCAATACCAATTCCCAAGTATGGAATCACTGCTTGTTTTTACACGGCTACAGTGTTTAAACGTGCCCAACCGGAATGCTGAAGAAATAAGCGTGTTATGTGTGAGATAATATGTCAAATCAATATCTTTTTGAAGAATACAATGGAGTGATTCACTCAGCATTAAGTGTGAGTGAGTTAATTTTTAGAGGTGTATAGGGATTATGCAATGGCGTTACGAGGCCATCACACAAGGATGGCACTAAAGGGTCCCACTAAAGTACAATACACTGATTCAAAGTCTCGATCTAATGGTACGAACGTGCGAAGCAGTGAAATAAGGGTGCAATAATGATACGATTCGATTATACAAAGGCGGGAACCGATGAAACGATGATGTGATGCAGGAAATGGGCGATGAGGGGACAATAATGGTACGACTCGATCCTACATTGCACGAAGCGTTGATACAGTGGTGTGATGCTGTTACATAAGGAGACAATGATGAGAGGAATTCATTACACAAAGGAAGGAAGCAATAATACGATAATGTGATGCAGTGAGATGAGGGGGCACCAATGGTACGACTCGATTAAACAAAGACTTGAAGAGATGATACGATAATACGATGATGTGGTGATACGATGATATCATGAAGCGACGAAATGATGATGTGATGCAGGGGAATAAGGTGTAGACGTTCAGCACCTTCCCCGGAAGAGTGAGTGAGTGAGTTGGGTTTTACGATGCTTTTAGCAATATTCCAGCAATATCACCACATTGTGCCCATGTGGGGAATCGAACCCGGGCCTTTGGCGTGACGAGCGAACGCTTTAACCACTAAGTTACCCCACCGCCACTTTCCATGGAAGATCATAAGGGAAGGGAGTGACTGATATTCAACGCTTGACATCCTTTCTCGGTCATGCGGAACCATCCTGTGATTTGTGGATATCTGTCGAGTTTTTAAACTTACAGAGGGCTTAAGTGTACTAAAAATCTGTTTTGTACGCAATGCTTCTAACGTGGACATGGAAGTGCATCTTCTAACGAGTAGTGTTCGCCGCATACGACGGTAAGTACTCACTACGAAATGGTCGGCTCGGTAATAATCATTAAATGCAAACTACCTTTGCATGTGTAAGTGGCTGTTTACGTGGGTCTTTGCTCGTCAAGAAGTTGAAGAGAATGATCACAGACTGAGACGATACAGTCTGAAGGCAAATGTAAAAAGCTGTGAAATGTTTTCCGAATAATTATTGCCACTCAGTACTGATAAGGTATCAGTTGATCGGTCCGTGTCTATAGGCTTCGCCATTTCAGAACACTCCAATCAAATTCTCATAGGCATACTGAGGATAATGAGCGACGCCAAATATTACCAGCTTTCAGTTCCGGTAGGGACATTTCTCTAGGACACCTAGTAATTCGTGACTGCTAACCCGGAGCTCTTCAACACGCCCAATTACCCAACCCCGACCAGCCACTTCAATCTACCATCAGCCATGAATCTGTGGGAGTAAGCGTTATATCCTTATATGATAGATATTATGAAACGTCTAACACCTGCATCACTTCGAGGTTTCCTTTCACATTAAGTGATGATGATAATGATCATAACGACGACGACGACCACGATGCAGACAACGATGACTGATGATGGAGGTGATGACGATGATGATGGCGATGATGACAACGATGACTGTTTATTACTGATGGTGATGACTGATTAAGAGTATGATGATGATGACGACGACGACGACGACGACGATGATGGTGATGATGATGACGACTCATTATATACGATTCTTTTATGATTTTGTTCAGAAAACTCATGACAGGAATATGTTTTACGATTATGTAAGAATGTTTACGTTTAGAACCAGATACATGTACAATATGTATCTGTATTATATACTAGGCACATAAAGAAACTGTGCATACAAAATTTTAAAATATAAATTGATCAAACCTGTGTAGACAACTCAGAGATTTGTGACATGTGCCATGTTCCGTGACGTCAGTGGGTTCGTCCTTGAGACGTGCAATACGTTGTTGCACGTGCATACCGGGAAAGAGAAACAGAGCAAATGAATGCCACACAACACTGTCACTTTGGAAAGCTCAACCCCTGCCCTTGCGATCTTTCAAAAAATTAAACGGCTATTGAAACGCATAGCATGCCAAGGCTCACGTCTGCACAACGTCATGAGGCCATTGGGATGGTCCGTGGGGGAATGTCTCAACGACAAGTGGCTGCACATTTCCACTGCTACCGGAACACCATTTCTGCACTGGTGAGACGGTACCAGAACACAAATGACGTCATCGATCGGCCACGTTCTGGACGTCTACGTGTAACAACGCCAAGACAGGACATATGGATAAGGGTGACCCATCGTCGCCACAGGTTTCAGACTGCAGTGATGACTGCCCGAACCATCCCAGGACTTCGCCGTATCCACCCCAACACAGTTCGACAACGTTTACGTCATCACGGGATCAGACCACGACGTCCCGCCATACGGCCTATCCTGACACAACGTCATCGACAAGCTCGCCGAATGTGGTGCAGGTTTAACATTTCCCATAGTGATGGACGTCAACGTGCCTATAGACGCGTGGGAGAACGTTATGCACAGGCATGTGTCTTGGAGAGGAATCGCTTTGGTGGTGGTTCCGTGGTGATTTGGGGTGGAATAACAGCACGCCAAAGAACTCCTTTGGTGATTGTTCAGGGCAACTTAACTGGTGTGGGCTACAGGGATCAGATTCTTCGACCTGTGGCAATTCCTTTTCTGCAACGTCATGGCCCTGGGTTAACATTCCAACTGGACAATGCCCGCCCTCATACGGCATGGGTTGCTATGGATTTCTTGCAACACCACAACGTTGACTTACTGCCTT